CCCGTCCCCCCACCCCCTGGCTCACTGGCCTTGCCCCTGTGCTGTGGAGCATCTGCCTTCATAACCCTGTACCCAAAGTAAACTACGAAGGAACAGAAACTACATTTCCTCAGCGGGTGCCTGTCACTCCCCACAGCCCCACCCACCATTGCTTCTGTGTCAAAGTAAAGGACTGGACGGGGAGGAAAGGGCACAGTAGAAAGGCAGAAGCTCCATCTCCTCGGACTCCAGAATGTGCAAACATACACTGGTTCACGTGTGTGTGTGTGTGTGTGTGTGTGTGTGTGTGTGTGTGTGATGTTTAATGTGTGTATTTTTAAATTGTCACTTAAGAAAAACTAGGTTATATGTTATATTTTAAATGTTATTAGTATATCACTTATATATTATTTATTTGCATACCCTGATATATTACAGAATTTGCTGTATATTCCATATTCCATGTACTTCTACTCTATCAGTGTATTAGGTGTTTACATAGCTGCATCTTCACTGCGGTGGGAAAGTTCTCCTTATCAATTCACAACATCCTTTTTCTGTTTGGCTTTCCTCTCTCTCTCCTGTCTTTTTTTATTTTCTGTTTGTGGGTTTTTGTGGTTGTTGTTATTTCTGTTATTTTCTTGAGTCGGGTCCTGTCATGTAGCCCAGGCTGGCCTTGAGCTTGTGGTTCCCCGGGTCCGACAGGCCGACGGGAGGACACCTCCACACTTGACAGGTGTTTGATGTCTGTGTTTGTCCACAGCTGTGTCTGGTTGTCACAGTCCGTCACCTAAGGCATGGGGATGGCCCAAGTCCGGTCCTTGATACTCACATAAAAGCCCAACACAGTGGGGTGGCTTGGAGGGTAGAATCCTTGCTGTGTGAGGCTGATGTCTTGAGTTTGATCCCCGAAACCCACGAAAAGCTGGGTGTGGTGGCTGGTGGCTGTGATCCCAGCATTCGTGTGGGAATCAGGGATACGAGAACTGCCCAGAGGCTCCTCACCGGTGCCTTATTTACCTTTCTGTCGCTGTGCTAAAACACCCCCATACAAGCAAGTTAGGAGAGAAGGTTTATCTGGCTCACAGCTATGGAGGGTTCCAGTCCATCGTGGACTGAAGGTGTGGTGACAGGAACAGGAGCCCAGCCCACCGCATCAGCAGTCTGGGAGTTGAGAGACCACAGGAGGTGGGGTCCGGCCACAAAACCTCAAAGCCCAGCCCCCCCCCCATGGACTTCCTCCAGCAGGACTCCATCTCCCAGAGTTCCTTAGCTTTCCCAGAGAGACCAGCTAAGGATCGAGTGTTCAAACACCTGAGCCTAGGGGAGACATTTCACATTCAGACTACGGCAGCCAGATAGCCTGGAGTATGCAGCATGATAGAAACAAGAGAGACGGCCTGGACAGGGCAGAGGAGAGAACAGACTCCTGAAAGTTGTTTTCAGACCTCCACACACATGACAGTACACACACACACACACACACACTAATTAATTAATTAATCAATGCCAAGTGTGGCACCACATCTGCAGTTCCAGAATTGAGTAGTTGGAGACACATGGGTTCTTGAGTTCTGTGGCCAGGCAGCCTAGCTAGTTCAATAAAATAAAGTCCAAGTTCGTCAAGACACCCTTTCTCCAAATAATTAGTTGGAGAGTGACCAAAGAAGACACATGATGTTGATCTCTGGCCTCCACACGAGCTCACACATGTATGCACACACAAACACATATAGCATACACACACACACACACACACACACACACACACACACACACACACACCACACCACCACACCACTACCAAGCAGTAAAGCATTCTGATGTGGGCAGACTGTTACTATTTGTGATTGTGATGTCCTTAACAGTGGCATGTAGGTTGGCTGTGATTTTTTTTTTTTTCTGCTGTCACAAATAATGCTAAAGACAACATTTTCTGCACTTGTACTTTTGAAAGTAACTCTGAGGACTAAACTCCTAGATGCAGGCTGGCTTTTCAGAGGACACGTGACTTTGAGAGTGCGGGGACCATTGCCCATCCCTCCTCTTCCACGAAGACAAGTCAAGTTCCCTCCTGCAGCTCTGAGATTGCTTTCCTTTGGCCAAAATCTAGCTGTGGCTGGCTCCTCCCACTTTTACGGACTCCATAGCCTCGGTCCCATTTAACAAGCATGTGCCCACTCATCTGAGAGCCTGAGCATCTCCAGACACGGTGCCCGGAAGGGTGGCTTCTTCTGCTCCTTCTTGTCTGTCATGTATTTCCCCCGCCAGCCAGTCACTTACCTTCCTGTTCACCTAATGGTGAACCTGGAGAAGAACCGAATCGTAGCAGTCATGCTTTGGAGCAGACTTCGTGGAACTTAGAAAAATCACCCCTTTCACCCTGCCAGACTGTGGGCAGCAGTGACTTTGCCCGTGTGTCCTTGAGGACTGGAATAGGGTAGCCTTGGCACAGAGCTGTGCAGCTGTGGACGGGGCTGTCCTGGCTGTGGGCTTGGCCTTGGGCAGAGGTAGGGGCTGTAGGTGAATGTGGAGCTGGGGACATTTTTGACTTTTCTCTGGTTGTCTTTAGGCACACAGCACCTGCTTAGCCCAGAAAGGAGGTGCTGAGCTCGTGGCCCCCCTGCTTTCTGGGCTCCCCCCAGGGCTCCTGGCAGCTTTTTCCTTGATCTGTAGTAGGGAGGGGTGGTGGGTTGTGTTGAAGAATACTTAGTAACTTCCAAAGTCAGTAACCTAAAAACGCGATCAATGGTTAGCTGAAAAACTTTCCTGCGATGTGTGTCTGCCAGATCAGACTCTTGGCAGCACCTGAAATCGGTTCGTGCGTTTCTACCTCTCTACTCGCATGGACCTTCTCCAGCACACAGGCCGCATGCGTCCTGTATGCATCCTCATACATACTTGTGCACACCGTTGTCCCTGGCTCACTTGGCTCTCATGAAGTGTGAACCATGCATTGCTCATCCACAGACTCCCCCGGTGTCCCCCCAAGTGCAAACGCCCATCACCTGTTCAGAGGATTCAGCTTCGTGGCCTCCAGCCTGGTCCAGGAGCCCTCCCAGCAAGACATGCCCAAGGCCCCCATTCACCCAATTGTGCAGGTAAGTCTGGGTACTCCAGGAGCCCAGTTCAGGGCCTTGATGCCTATATTTTTATCACCTCAGTGCTGGGTGCCAACGGTGGGTCAATGGTAGACATCTCCCTGCCCCTAGATGTTGCTGAGTGTTGCTATGGTGGTCTTCCTGGTGGTCTGCACCATTACACAATCATTTCTAAAAGGGAAAATAAAGGTATGAGGAGATGACTACCATGGATGCCTGTGCCAGCGGCCCCTATGGGCTCTGTGTGAGCTGTGGGTGCCATGTCATTGGGAGGTCAGTGGGGATGTTATTTAGACTTCTGTCATCATGTGGTTATAACTAGAGTTCAGGAAACTCACTTGAGCATTTGATGTCTTCATTCAATGTAATTAGATGGCATTGGATTTCCCTGGTGTGTGTCTCCTTGTGGCTGTGGTTAGTGGGGTTTTTGTTCTCAGCGGTGGGCAAGTGGGGCCTGTACACGTGGGCCAGACTGGCTTGTGGCTGAAGCATCTTGGGGTGGTGCCCTATCTGGATACCCACTCTGGGGACAGCGCTGCGGCCATGTGCCTGTGCTTCGGCCCCTCCGCTCCACGAGTCTCACTACCGTGGGTCTCTGGAGGAAAACTGAGTGCTCCTTGGACACATGATACCCGGGCATCTGAATATGAAAAGTCGTAGCCACAGGAGCTCCGGCACCTTCTGTGCTTAGCTCTGGGACCTTGGGCAAGGAACTCTTCCTTTGCTCAAGCTCTCGAGTTCCCAGGATGCCCTGGATCTGTGTGTCTGTCTGGAGCCATGTGCAGCTGTGTGGAAGGTTGCTAACCAGCCCTGCCTTGGCCTCTCTGCAGCAGTTGCATGGGAACAACATCCACTTCACTGATGGCTATGAGATCAAGGAGGACATCGGGGTGGGCTCCTACTCGGTCTGCAAGCGGTGTGTACACAAAGCCACCGACGCTGAGTACGCTGTGAAGGTAAGGCAGGGATCTCTGGCCTAGCTGAGCAGGCGCTTAGGTGCTGAGCAGGCTCTCTCCATCCACAGTGTCTGAGGTCTGATGTGTTGGACTTTGGTTTATTTTGATATGAAGTCACCTATTTAAATATTGTTTTCCAAGCTGGAAATGGAGCTCTCAGGAAACTGAGGTAGGGGAGCTGAGTGTTCCAGATGAGCCTGGGCTATGTAATAAGACCCTATCTCAAAGGACCAGGAAAAAAATGTCTTTTCAAATCATAAGTATTTCAGTTATGTCCGACATGGAACCAATCATCTTTAGTAACTGACTATAACATGCCAAGAATAACAGCCCTGGGCACACAGTATCTAAGAAGACAGAAGTTGGGCAAACAGGCGTAGCCTTTATCAGAGGTAGGAAGAAGCAGGGGGAGGGGAAGGAAGGAAAAAAGATAGAACTGTCAAAAATATTCAAAGAAATAAATAGAAGCAGAATAAAGAGACAGCTGATGTTTCACTCCAGACACCAAAACCTGTGTACAGTACAGAATGACACCTGTAATCCAGTCTGGCAAGCTCTAAGTAGTAATTTTCACCTCTGTAACTGTTATAGATTAAATACTAGAGCTGGGAATCCAAAATACCAATTTCTAGGGTTTTCTAGTTAGTAAAAGCTAAAGCTTCCTTCTTCCGAGGTCAACATCCAGTACACACAGAAGCACACACCATACATTACACAGTGTGCATTCTCTCTCCACCACCGTGTGAGGCAGTCTAACCTCTGCCACAACCATGAGGTGGTCTAACCTCCACCACCCGCTCTTGGCACATGAGACATAGGACTGGAGAGATGGCTCCGTGGGTAGAACTCTTGCTGCGGAGCATGTGGACCTGACTTCACATCTGCACAACCTATGCAAAACAGACATGTAGCACACATCTGTATTGCAGTGTTCCTAGGGGAGATGGGAGGCAGAGATGGGAGAATCCCCAGGAGTGCTCGGGCCGGCTAGCCTGGCGTATGCAGAGGTAAACAATGAGAAGGAGACTGTGCTTCAGAAAAGGTGGAGGAGGAGGGGATAGGAGTGAATCCTGAGGTGGTTCTCCTACCTCCACACCTATGCTTGTGTGCACCCACCTTCACACACGTGCATGCGGATGCTCACACACATACACACTCAAGACTTGAGGGACAGAGTCTGAGCCTGTGTCACCATGGCATGAAGCATGCCTGCGCTGCTGGGCATGTGGCACTGTCCCAGCTCTTTAGAGAGTGCCTAGGGAGAGGTGGAGCTGGCCAGTGAGGCAAGACATAATAGGAGTGGATTCCATCAGCTGTGATTTTCCAGGCTCTGAAAGGGGTGCTTGGCACACTGAGTGCGGGGTGTTGTGTATCCATGGCCGTTTCTCGACACTGGGCATTTCTCAAAAGCGCACTCTCAAGAGAGTGTGCCTCTTCACAGACCGTCGTCCGCCCTGGGTTTCTCAGGCTGGGAAAGCAGTCAGCAGCCTAGCAAAAGAGGCACCAGCCAAACATCTCAGGAATCTGTGGCCTTTGGACAAGCTGGCCTAAACTTCCCGGAGTCCGTGAGGTGATTACAGTTAAAGCAGGAGCTCAGAGATATAACGGGGTCGCCACCCGGTGTCGTGGAGCCGACCCCTCTGGGGCACAGACACAGGTCTAGATTGTGCGTGGCTGGGGGTTTCCAGAAGTTCTGTATTCTGCCTCACCCCAGAGGATTTCCAGTGCTTTGTGGCTTCGTGAGCTTCTTAGGATTTCTCTGGGTGGGTCGTTTCTCACAGAAATTCTTCAGATTGCTTATCTGGAGGCCAGCAGCACTCCTAGAGGCAAACAGTGCTGCCAGAGAGCACTGAGAAACACATCCATTGTGTGGCAGCCCGGCAGCCCCAGTGCCCTTCGAGAAACAGCCTGCTACTGTTCAGTGTGGTTCTGCGCCCTGGAACTCGGCCCCATTGACAATGCCAGTGGTATGCTCTCCCTGGGACTCCCACATCCAACGCTCACGCAGAGCCTCCATCTGTAATCGGCTTTGTTGGGAGTTAGGACTCTGTCCTCAAAGATCCTGTTGAGGATTGACCCTGTGCAGTCTGTGACAGCTCCCCTCCCTGACCTGTGCACCCCAGGAAGAGAAGCTAGGTGTTGTATCTCTAGCTGATAGCGGAAGAAGAGCCAGGAGCTCCTGTTTGTCATCCAAGCCTTGAAACTCCCTGGACAAACCAAGGCACGGAATGGAACAGGAGCATGGAAAGCCGTGGCTTCTTGGCAAGACACAGTTGAGTGTCCGCGGATGACCTAGGAGCATACACAAGCCACTTGTGGATGGGCAGCAATCGGTCCACTTCTCTGAGGGTTGAACTGTGACTGGGTTTCCTTCAAAGATGGAGGAGCCAACAGTTCATCAACTTCTGTGTCCACACTGCTCAGGTGAGCAGAGCATAGGTGGCCTTTCTGCAGGTCTGTGAGCACACCTGTTGTTACTAAATGCCTGCAGTTTGGATCAGATAAAAATAAAGATCCTTGCTGCCAAGCCTGATGACCTGAGTTCTTCCCCAAGACCCATATGGTGGAAGGAGAGAACCTACTGTAGCAGGTCGTCATGTGGTCCTCACATGTGCTCTGTGCTACCCATACCCACACACACACACAACTGAAGAAATGGATGTCATAAAAATGAAACAGAGCCTTGAAGTTGTGCCGAAGTGTGTGTCGCCCTGTTCTCTTGAAGCTTTTAAAAGTTCATTTTCCACTCCCTGATGCCACCTTTCCCCTCTGGAACTGTCTCCTCTTCCCAACACCCACCCCACATCCATGTCCATTTTGCCTGTGGCCACTGAGTTGAATTTCATGTCTGAGCCAGAGCGACACATCTGTGACCACACCATGAAAGAATATGAATCCCCTCCCCCAACAGCTCTTCATTGCTACTAACTGCCCCCCCACACACAGAGTGGCGGGGCCTCACTCCTGTCGCCGTCATTGAGGGCTCTGATTTGTGTGCAGAGTGAGAGATGAGGATCAAGGCCCATTCTTCCATATCTTGACAGCCAGTTTTCCCCATGTGTTTTTGGCTTCTGCGTCAGAAATTGGATGGCTGTTTTATATGCCTGTCACCCTGTTTTTAACTACAACAGAGGATGTGGCCACCACACCCAGGACGGGACAGGCCTCGCTCCCATAGGAGCCAGAGTTTGGACCCACATCACGTCAGCTGTGTGCAGCGGCGTTTGCCTGCCTGTGCTCAGTTTCCTGTTCTGTGTATATAACTTGTCAACCAGCAAGGAAGTGGAACCAAACAGATGCTTGGCCTGGGGAGAGCTTATTTTTAGAAGGACTGATTGGCATGGAAATTTTAATTTTTTTTCCTACCAGGAAGACACTGGAGTTCTTTCCCTTTGTCATTTGTTTAATTTTACAGGAGAAAATGTCTTTTTTTTTTCCAAGTAATTACACACTCTGCTTGACTTGCTTCCAACATACTATGATCCTTCCACCAAGTGAGAGGAAGCGCTGGGCTGAGGAGTGCATCCTGCTTGCCCAGGTGCTCACCCTGCTGCCTTCAGCACCTAGAAAGGGGGTGCTCCAGGGATGGGGAGCTTAAGGAATAACAAGGAAGGACACACAGACACAGAAAAGGGGAAACAGGAAGTGGAGGAAATGCCTGGGTGGTGGCTAACACTCTCGAGTAGCAGCAGCAGCCCCCAGCAAACATGGTTCCCCTGCTGAGAAAATCCATCGTCCTGCACCAGCCACGTGGAGGTCACACTTGCTCCAGGCATATGCACACCTCGGCTTAGCACCTCTGAGGCGTGTGAGAAGCTGTGTGCTGCACAACGCAACCACGGGGAGCTTATCCACCGTCAGCAGGGGCAGCTGCCCACCCACTGTGCAGGATGCTGCCCGATCCTTCTGTGCATCTTCCTGGGGCAAAGAAGAGCGATGGAGCAGATCCCTCCCCTTCCCCCTGCCTTTGACTGTGGTTGTCTCTGCTCTCAAGCTTATCCCTGAGAGAAGAGCCGTGTGGTCCACAGGGCTTGCTCTAGCTGGAGGTAAATCCAGCTACATCATTCCCAAGAAGCCATCCCACCAGGAAACTCACCGAAGGATCTTGTGTATTTTCAGCCACTCAACAGCCACCTGAGAGAATGCCTCACTAACGTACGGTATTTGATGGAGGTGCTTTGCGGGCGCCACCAAACAAATGATACTCAGTGTGATATTGTGGTGCGCAGTGTTCATGCCCAGGCTGCATGCCATGTTACAGCAGATTAGCCAGCGTGCCCTCCAGTGTGCCTCCCAGTTGAACATACACATTAATTCTTAGTACAGTCTTAAAGTGTTATTCGATGTCAGTGAGATCTTAAGGTCTTTACGAAGTGGATTTGTTCACAAGCGTTTATGACAGTTCATCAGAATTTTTCTCATGACATCCAAAGAACACACAAGAATAAGATACTCTGGTGAGGAACAGGTCACACATTTGTGGTCCCAGGTGGTTTTAATGATAGTTGCAGTGTTCTCACATTTAATTTTTAGTGGATAACACTCACGTGACTCTGGATTTAAAAGCTGTGGTCGAGGCATCCTCGGGGTCCCCCAACCATAGCCGCATCCCCTCGTTACCCATTTCCCCCTCCAGGGGAAGCCAGGGCTTTTGCGATTTTCCTCTTCCTTTCCAGGGTTATTTATGCAGTCCCAAGGAAAGGCATGTGTCTGTCTGCATCCTTTTCTGCTTTTAAAACAAGGGACAGTGTAGGATGCACATGCAGTGCTTGTCTAACTTGAGTGTCCTGGCAGGCGACAAAAGGCTTCCTCTTGTTTGTTCTGCATCTGGCTCCTTGGGAAGAGACCAGATCAATGTTCAGAGTGGATGACTTTATCATGAAAATGACTTTGAGAAAAAAAAAAAAAAAAGGCATCTACCACTAGATTGTCTAAACCCATGAATATATTGCAAAGGGAATATGTTGGGTGTGGGATACCCATGTAGTCAAAGCAGAGAGGCTTTGGAACTGGATGGCACTAATGTGCAGGGCCACGGATGCTGTTGGGGGTGGGGGACACTTCTGAATTTCTGAGTCGTTCTCAACCTAAGTGCTGTCCACTTCACACACGTGGATTCTCTCTCTCCACCAGCTTTCCCCACAAACGTAAGAGGCAAGGCGCCTTCAGAGGCATCAGAGCCATCCTGTGGCACAGGACTCCTGTTTCAAAGAAAGGCTTTTTCTTTGAAAAAGAGGCGCTCAGGTGGCTGGGGTTCACTCTAACTGAGTGAAGTGAGAACCTACTGGTCAGAGTTCAGTGGCTGAGACAGACTGAGCGAGTTGCTGGTGCCTGGGTGAGCTCTCCAAGACTGCCCCATTGCATCTGGCCTTTTGATATCTTGAGATTCATGTCTGAAGGCTGTCTCCTTCTTTCTTGTGGTGTTAGGAATTGAACCTGGGACCTTGTAGGTTTGACAAGTACTTTGCCACCGAGCTATATCCCTAACTACATCCTTCTTTTTCCTTTTTCCTTTGAGACAGGGTCTCATTAAGTTGCCCAGACAGGCCTACAACTTGCAGTCTTTCTGTTACATGCTCCCTCATAGCCAGAATTACAGACCTGCTTTCCTCTTTTTAATTGTACCCTTTTTGCTAGCTGAGACAGGAGTGACCAGATCTACATTTCTGAGAAATTTTAAGTGAGCTTGGTTGAGTCCTGTAGGGGTGGGGGGCAGCTGTGCTGTGCACAATCCGCAATGGTCCAAGGCCAGCAGCAAATCTCACACTTCTTCCTGCTGTGTGTGCTTCAGATCATCGATAAGAGCAAAAGGGACCCCTCAGAAGAGATCGAGATCCTCCTGCGGTATGGCCAGCACCCCAACATCATCACCCTAAAAGACGTAAGTGCCTCCGTGTAGCAGCCTGTCCTCAGCTTTCTTCTTCAGCTGACACAAAAAAAACGCCACTGTTTTCACAGTGTGAGTTTTCTCACATTGTCTGTGTTCAGTGTGCCAAGGATCACAGGCCTCAGACACTCTCACCCAAGAGTTTCGGTGCTTTGGCGACTGGTCACCCTAACTTGGGGTTGTGTTTGTGTGTATGCACACCCCTGGATAGTTCCCCACCCTCCCCAAGCATGCAATGCACAAGCTTAAAACAGGACAGACCTGTGTGCGTCAGTGAGAGTGCTGTTCTTTGTCATGGAGTCATTCCTGCCTGCCTGCCTGACGGATGGACAGTGGCATAAGGACAGCAGGTCCCACTCAACTCTGGCTGGACGATGTTTACAGTCTCCCTTGGACTTTCCCTAATGAGGGGCATTGGAGCAGGAATCAGCCACATCAGGTCTGTCTGCAAGGCTGCTCTACCCCGTAAAGGTCTGAAGGGCAGGTACGGGTTTGAGAAGAGAGGAACTTTTCCCTCTTCTTGCCCTTACCTCTTGGAGTACAGTTATTCCCGTGACAGACACCCACAGCCTGTAGCTGCTGGGACTACCTCAATGTCCCTTTGGGTAACAGCTCACAGAATAAGAGTTCAACCCCAGGGAACATTGGCAACGAGTGTCTTGCATCCAAAAGCTTAAATGGAGCCAGCTCTGCCCCTGGGGGTCTCAGACACCTCACTGCGCAGGCGTAGTGCTCTGATTGTGCATTCTTGGTTTACATGTAAGAGTCACGAACCCAAACCAGCTCTTCTGCGGACTCAGAGATGGCTCTCTCTGCTGTTTGACGTGAGCAGCCCAGGTGTGAGATGGCGTCATCTTCCCACCTTCAAAATAGACCGGTGAATTCATAAGCTCAGAAACACACACCAGAATTAGCTCTGCACCTATTACGTGGGTCAAAGTCGGGTAAATTATTTTAGTAGCTTGTTCTGGAAATTCATCAATTAAATGATTATCGCTGAGCTAAGAATAAGGTTTCAGGTCTGTCACCCATTTTAACCTAGTTCTCATAGCTTGGGCACCCACGGGCTCCCATGCATATGGTGACTGGGGTGCGTATGTGGTCATCTTCATCTATACAGGGCACAAAAATAGCCAGTTTGCATTTTGTTGTTTATTTTTTATTTAAACTGAGTTTAAAGCTAGTATTGGTGAAAGCTGTGTGTTTCTTAGAGCCAGGTCCCCTCCCCTCCAGACCTGCAGAGGCAGAGCACGCGCTCTGACTTGACCTCCGAAATTATTTGCATGATGACGGTTGAGAAGCATTGTCCTTGCCGAATGCTGTTGCTGCTGTAACTTTTCTTTCTATGGCGCTCTCACCTCTCAGAGCCTGGCAGCATAACTATGTGACACATCCCAGCTAAGAAACTTCCCCTCAAGCCCTGTGTCTCCCACAGCCCAGCTTGCTCATGCCCCAGAGCATCAAAGCTGTTTCCCTCCTAAGATGATCCACTCCTGTAGAGCTGGAAGGCTGCTCACCATTTACAACAGCCAAACAGCTTGATCTTGCTCCTAGGGACACAGCCCTCGGCTTCTCTCCTCCACCCCACCTGCAGCCCTTGCTCCTCCAGATAGCCAGGGGCCTGAGGACGGCAGCCACGGTGACATACAGGCCCCTGAGGTTTCCTGCACTTCCCCTTGACTTCCAGGTCTATGACGACGGCAAGTACGTGTACCTGGTGATGGAGCTCATGCGAGGTGGGGAGCTGCTGGACCGCATCCTCCGTCAACGGTGCTTCTCAGAGCGTGAGGCCAGCGACGTGCTGTACACCATCGCCAGGACCATGGACTACCTGCACTCCCAAGGGGTAAGGCCAGGGTGCCGTGGACCTGCAGGAACAGGAAATGACTCAGGTCGGGCTACCTACGCTCCCAGGGGCAAGGCCCAGGCCAGGGCAGTGGACCGGCTTCAGGGCAGCACGCAACTTGACAGGAAGGTAGATGCAAGACTGTAGAGGAGTCACAGAGTTGTGGATGCAGGAGTGAGACATCTTTATAAACCGACATCTTGCCTTTAGACTTGTGCCCTCTTAATTCCTCCAGCTCTGAACAACATACCCAAGTAATGTAATTTGCTGTGACCTGTCCTGCCACCCGTTGTGGGTCTGTAGTCATCTGTACACATGGTGTACAGGGACTCAGTTAATAAATTTCTGTGAACCAGTCTTAGCTCTGTCCTTGATAAAGAGAGATTTAGAATTTTCCTGGCTTGTGATACATAAAGCTAAACAAAGGGTAACAACCAGGGTTCCCTGAGCCTCAGACTAGACTGCACCAAGCTCCTCAGGGACTCACTTTGAAGTCTGGACCGTGCATTTTGTATGTCTTGACGATCAAGCACAGGTTGGTTAAGGTAAGGCCAACCCCACCAAGGCCACACTGCAGAGCTCCGGGCCACATTCTCTGTCTCCAGGAGGGAGCAGCCCAGTGTAATAAATTTTCTGCATCTTTTCCTCCATCCTTCCTTTCTTCCTTCCCTCTACCCTGTGCCTCTGTCTTCCCCTCCATCCTTCCCCCCACCCCATCTTTCATCTCCACCCTCTGCTCTGGTCCCTTCCCTCTCTCCTCGGAGTTTCTCATAAAGCAGGTTTGGGCCGACTGTGTACACAGACCTGCCAGCCTGCACAGTTCTTCCAAGGTCTCACAGTGGGTCCTTTTTGTGTGGATCCCTCATGATACAGGAGTTCCACACACAGTTTTCCCAGTCGCCAGATTCTGGAATTATCCTGATGTGAGAGTTCACAGATATTCCTGTTTAGTGAGGGATAGAGACAGGAGTCTCCCGTAGGCTTCCATCCGTGTCTATAAACCGGGCCCGAGTGCCCAGGTTTATCACTTCAATCTTCTTTGCAGAACCCCTCAGTTCTCTGCAAAAGGACAGTCAGCATGTTCAGGTCCCAAGCCTCATGAGGGCACACCACATGTCTGCACAAGGGCCTCCTGTCCCTTCAGAAGGCGTCACTGCGTGTCCTGAATGGCTGCTCTGTTTGGCGGGGTTGCGGGCCCTTCTGTCCTGACAGCTGTCACTGCTGCTATGGCACATGCTTAGAGTCCGGGCCTTGAATGGTGCAGGTGCAGTCTTTGCAGCCCCGAGCCCCGCCCCTCGCGGCCAGGAGTCAGCGTGCCTGCGACAGCAGGTGCACGGGTGCTTCTGCTATGGTGACAGACGGCCCACGCACTGGCGTACCCCCAAAGCCCGCTGTGGGCCAACGCTCTCCGAGTGAGCGAAAAGCAAGGGAACCTTTTCATTTCTGCAGCCAGAGCTGCCCGCCACAGGCCCTCCTGCCGCCCCTGCGTCTCGGATGAGCGTGCGTTCTATTCAGTCGCACAGTCCTCCTGTGTGAAGAAGGCACACTGTGTGGGCACTTGGCCCTGAGTGACCAGCGTAGGTGATCGAGATAGGGTGGCTCCTTGGGAGAACACAGTCCTTTTCTCCTGCAGTGGGACCTGCCCCGGTAATCCGTTCCCAGGCAGCCCTAGCCTCCTGCTCACCCTCCTTTTCTCTCCCACTCAGTCTTGACAAAGGCTTCCTGCCTTCCAGGTTGTTCATCGGGACCTGAAACCGAGTAACATTCTGTACATGGACGAGTCTGGAAACCCCGAGTCTATCCGCATCTGTGACTTCGGGTTTGCCAAGCAGCTGCGAGCGGAGAATGGCCTGCTGATGACTCCCTGCTACACGGCCAACTTCGTGGCCCCCGAGGTAGAGTCCCCAGACCCGGGAGAGCCGGAGATGTCAGGCTGAGGGGAGCACGCTGCTTTTCCTGTCGCCAGGGTAACTAGAGAGCTTGGGGCATTGAGGCAGCACAATGGGCTCAGCAGAGTCCTCGGGAGACCGGAAGGAGAGCCTGCTGTGGACGGGGGAGAGCATGGTTGTTCCGCAATCAGCCAATATTACTCAGTCACCGCGAGCCTTTTATTTTCCATTGGAAAAACTTAAATGGTGCTGATGCCCCGTGGTTCTTGCTCCAGCGTTTCCTTGACAACAAGTCAGCATCCATCCGACTTGAATACTGGGGGCCCACAGCAGCATGCACCCAAATGCCCACATGTGTGCAAGGGAACCGTTCTGCTTGCTGGCTTCCTGAGGCCAGTTCCAGTAGGTTCTGCTGCCACTGTTGTTTGCGGTGATGAGTCTGGTTTCTTGCATGAGTTGATGGTTAGGTGGGATCACAGTGGTGGCAGCAGGGGCTGGCGTTGCTGATGAAGTCAGGGGAGGCTCGGGCCCCGTGCTGGGCCTCCTGAGTAGGACTGTCAGATCTGCCCCGAGTCCTAAGAGGAAGTCACTGCTGTGTGCTTGCTGAGTGAGTGGCCCAGGCAGATCCAGGTCCAAGAGGGACTGAGCAGCGGTATGAGGTCATCCAGGGGTTGTCCAGGCATGTGACGAGCCTTGGCCCCTTTGGAAACAGCTGGTTTGAAGCTCGGGTTGTGCCTCATGTGGCCGTTATTAATACTGACAGAGTGCATACAAGTAGCCATGTTTCCTAACTGAGGAAAAATAAGCAAAGTCAGTATTTCAATGCCTCGGGAGGTCATTCAGCCAGTGACTCGGAGTTGCAGTTCACTCGGCATTTAATACCTGTCTTGCGCCATGGCACATGATGTCAGGAAGGCGGTGATGAATGTAGGCCCCTCTCTCTCACCTGGGAAGAAACGGAACGGGGTCCTAAGGCCTCGTTCAGGCCATCGAAGCAGTCTGCAGTGACCCATGAGCATCTTCACTGCCTCTCACGTCTGGACATACCCAACAATAACACCGTGTGTGACATGGCGATTCACCGGAATTCCACCTCCTTAGTCATTCTCCGTACCCTTTAACTGAAACACAGGGCACCGTGGCACACACCTGTAGACCACTGGGGCTCTTCGGGAGGCTGAGGCAAGAAGGGCCCTTGAGCTTAGGGACTGGAGGCCAGCCTAGGCGATACGACATGGCCTCATCTCAAAGCACCAACTACATAAACCGGGCACAGTGGCACACACAGTGCTGGGGAGGTGGAGACAGAAGGACACATTCAAGGTCATCCCTGCCTAGGCTGCTGGCTCCAGGACAACACTGTATGGTTCTGCTTATATGACGTTCCTCGCAAGGTCAGATTCATAAAGAAAGTAGAATGGGGTTGCCAGGGACTGGGTTGGCCAGTGGGGAATTTGTACTTGATAAGGACAGAGTTTTAGATTGGGAAAATGGGGTTCTGGGGGATAGCTGTCCCGCATGTGACTGCATTGAATGGCTAATCTGGTAAGCGGAACTCCTGCCCTAACGCCATGGGTCAGGCCAGTGCCCCGCCCCGTCCCTCTCTGCAGGGGCCATGCTACAACATGGTCGGCCGGACTGGCTGACCCAGCAGATGACCCCACCCTGCCGGCTTCCTGTTTGCTTAGGACAATCTCCTCTGGAATGGTGCTGTGCAGTGCAGTCCTGACCGCGCCTCTTGCCCCTCCAGGTCCTGAAGCGGCAAGGCTACGATGCAGCGTGTGATGTCTGGAGCTTGGGAATCCTGCTGTACACCATGCTGGCTGGGTAAAGGAGGGCCACCGGGGGTGTTTTGTTAGCATCAGGCCCGAGGGCTTCACCCCTCCTCGCTGGTGCTTGTGTGTAAACAAGGCCAACCCATCTGGGTTAGGGTGGCTGTTCAAACCCTGCAGGATAAGGAAAGGACAAGACAGTCAGCTATGTGGTCTCCGTAAACTCAGCCCATAAACAAAACATGCCTTGTGCAGGCCAGCCCACATGCTCCACTACCTGAACCATCCTCTTGAAAGGAACACTAGGAGAGCCACATGTTCCTCTTCTTGGGAGGTGTGTGCTGATGATGTGTGTCTGACTTGTGTCAGGGTGGTGGACCAGGACTACACCTGACATGCATGATGTGTCCTTTGTAAGTTCAAGAATCACTCTGCCCAAGAGCTCAGACTTGGTGGTAGACCATCCCATAGGTCCCTCAGACTTCACACCTCAGGTTCCCGGCCACTGAACCACTTTGCCATCATGGAAACCAAATCTCCAGGCAGACTCCCTACCATCCCAGCACCACTGTGACCCGAAAGGGCCCAGAAAGTATGCACACCAGGGTTGACAGGCCTTCCCCGCCCATCTTGTTGACTTCTAGCGCTGGCCAAGTGAGGAAGGCGGCCTGGTATGGGACATGCACCGTTCCTTAGCGTGAGCCCTGGACTCAGAAGAGAAGAGGCAGCCCTGTTCAGCACTCTATGGCGCTGTAAGCTCAGTGCCGTTGACGCTCTCGCACACAGGTTCACCCCTTTTGCCAATGGACCAGATGACACCCCTGAGGAGATTCTGGCGAGGATTGGCAGTGGGAAGTACGCCCTTTCTGGCGGAAACTGGGACTCCATATCTGATGCAGCCAAAGTGAGTGTGTTTCCCAGTGTTCTTGCCTCCAATCATGGGGATTCTGCAGCAGGCATATTGTTGGTGAGGAAGCTGGAGATGCCACCCATACAAACATTATAGACTTTTACTCTAGAGTGTTTCACAGTTTTTAATTAAAAAAGAAAAATGGCCTTCTTCATGACGTTAATGTGGTAAAGTTCTGTAGAGAGACAACCAATAGGAAGTGTAGGCATGGGTGGAGACACAGAGCACGTGTAGCATGAGCATCTTGAGAGGATCAGAGAGGAGTGGCGTTTCGGGAACTGGCTGCTGTGACCAGGGCCACAAACCCGAATTTACAGAGTGACTGGCAGCTGGGGACCCTGCGAAGGAAGAGACACTGCAGGTTGTCCTCAGCCCTCTGTTGCTAAAGTGCCTCCTCTGTAGACATGTTCCCGGATGACCGCCCTAAGTGTCTGAGGCACACTCGTGCTGGTTAAAGTCACTGAGTTTGGGTGTGCCTGACGTGCACACTTTGGTCACCAGCATCGCCCTCCTGCCGTCAGCCGCCAGTCTTCTCTGGTGGACACCATCAACTCCTGTCTAGTGAAACTATACACTGTTGGGCTGAGGGTGTAGGTCAGTGGTCACGGCCCTGGTGTTTGCAAGGTGCATGGCGATCCAGTACCGGAGAAAGTACACCACAGTCTGACAACTAGCAAGCGGTGCCAGGCACCTTTCTTCTGTGGTCCTGTGGAAGTTCTGAAGAGAAAGAAGGACTCTGGGCCCAGAGCTGCCATCACCAAAGCTTTGTGGCTTCAGGCAGGAGTTGGCGCCATGGTGCGGAAAGTGGAGGTGGTGGCGAAGGGGTGATACTGTAGAAAATGGTGAGGGGACAGCTGGGGGGATGGGCTGGAAGGGGTTGTCAGTCTGGGGAGATGTTCCGTAGGTAGGAGTGCTAGTTGAATACCCAACATCCAAAAGCAAAAGGTAGGCAGAGCCACGTGTGAGCCTTAACCTCAGGGCTCGGCGAGGAGGCTACCGGCGTTTGCCGGCTGCCAGCCTTGTTCCAGGTTCAGTGAGAGACGCTGTCTAGAGAAATAAGGCAGAGGAGAGGGGTAAAGCAGAACACCTAACATCCTCCTCTGTCCTCTGTCCACGTGCACACAGGTGTGTGTACATGCCACACACCACACAGACCACACATCACACACACACACACACATGCACACACACATATCACATACACACACCACACAGACACACATCACACACACACCACACACACACACACACACACACATGCACACACGCATGTCACATATACAGACCACCTACACACAAAAAGAAAAGGAGTTGATGGTGTAATAGCAGAGGTGGTGGCTGAGGTGACAGTGTAGGAGTTGACTGCTGAGACGATAGTGGGGGATGGTAAAGAATATGGGTGTGAAGGACCTGGTGAAGGGGATGTTGGGGTATGGTGGAGGTCCTGGGGGAGGCAATGGTGGGATAGAGTGGAGGTCCTGGTGGAGGTGATGGTGGGATAGAGTGGAGGTCCTGGTGGAGGTGATGGTGGGATAGAGTGGAGGTCCTGGTGGAGGTGATGGTGGGA